TATATATATATATATATATATATATATATATATATATATTCAAATAGTTTTTCACTTTACATGGACTATGCTCATCTATCCATGTCAATAGATATGGATTTACTCCATTTTAAATAACTATGTTTATTACCCTGTACAAAAATCAACTCAAAATGAATCAAAGATGGGAATTAGACCAGAAACTATGTAACACTTAGACAAAAACATTGGGTCAACACTCTAATACATAGGTGCAGGCAATGATGTTCTCAATAGGACCCTTAAAGTTCAGGAAATAATGCCAAGAGTTAATAAAAGGGAGGGCATCAAATTTAAAAGCTTCTACACAGCAAAGTGAACAATTAGGAATGTAAAGAGGGAGCCTATAGCATAAGAGAATGTTTTCTAGATACTCTCTGACAAAGGATTCATATCCACAATATGTAAAATAACTCAAAAAACTTAAAACCAAAAAATATTAATAAATACGCAAATGAACTAAACAGACATTTCTCAAAAGAAATACAAATGAACAATGAACATATGAAAAAAATATTCAAAATTGTTAGCAAGTAAATAAATGCAAATCAAAACTATACTGAGATTTCATATTACTCCAGTTAGAACAGCAACCATCAAGAATACAAACAATAATAAATGCCAGAGACACGTATAGCTAAAGGAATATTTTACTGTGTTCGTGCAACTGTAAATGAGAAAAACCATATGGAAATCAATATGAAGGTTCCTCAAAAAACTAGAAATGGAACCACCATATTACCCAGCTATACCTTCCTTGGTATTTATCCTAAACAATTAAAATCAGCATACTATAGCAGTACATGCATACCCATGTTGATAGAATCACAATTCATAAAACAAAACTACGTGTCTTTCAATGGAGGAATGCATAAAGAAAATGTTGAGTGTGTGTGTGTGTGTGTGTGTGTGTGTGAAGTTTTATTAAGCCATAAAGAAGAATGAAATTATGTTATTTGCAGGAAAATGGATAGAACTTGATAACTTTATGTTTAGTGAAATAAGCCAAACTCAGAAAGCCTAGGGTCATATGTTTTGTCTCATAGGAGGGAAGCTAGAGAGGAAAAGGAAAAGAAAAGTTGGGGCAGGGGCAGAATCTAATGAAAATCAAAGGGAAATCAGTAGAGCACAGGAAAGGACTAGGGGAGGGAGAAGGGGACAGAAAGGAGAAACACATGGAAATAATATTGGCCAAATTTTATTGTTATTTTGTGTCCATGTACAAATATGTAACAATGAATTGCACTATTATGTACAACTATAGTGCACCAATAAAATATGGAAAAAAACATATTATTATCACAAATATAAGATTAAATTTTCTATTACCCTCTTGATGTTGGTCATTATAATGATAATTATCATCATCACCATCTCAATAATAAATCACATTTATTGAATGGGTATGTCGGGAACTACCCAATGCTAAGGGCTTTATGTATATTAATTCAGTTGGTTATCATGTCATTTATCCCAGTAGGTAGATGACATTGAGATGAGGAAATTGAGACATAAAGAGAAAATAATTGGGGGCTACAGTTGGAACTCAGTGGTAGAGAGAGCACTTGCCTAGCATGTGGTGAGATGCTGGGTTCATTACTCAGCTTTGCATATAAATAAATAAAAATAAATGTTCACAAACAACTATTTTTTTTTAAAGGAGAAGATAATTGATTTGCCTAAGGCTATCTTTACAATAAGTGATAGAAACAAGCAGAAAGAATACCTTCCAGAGCCTGTACTGGAGAGGACCCAAGCAGTATTGGTTGTTTTCATTTTTTCCCCTTGGAAAATTTCACAAAAATATAGCAAAGTACACTTTATGTGCCAACATTTAAGATATATATACTTTTTTCTGAGTTCTTTATAAAATCTAGTGTGGTTTAAAGGTGGCAAATCCAGCATATAGAAGGAAAATATAAAATCATAGAATCTCTAGATTTGACAGTGCTTTAGGTAGAATCATCCACATGACATTTCAGTCAACCATGGGTCACGTATCCATATACAACAGTGTCCATAAGATTATACTACCTATTGACATCATGGCCATCTTGATTCATATAATTATATTCTGTGATGTTTGCCTAATAATGACGAAAGCAGTTACCATTGCATTTCTCAGAACTATCCCTGTCATTAAGTGAATTGTGACTGAAATTTAGTAGAATTTCAGTGATTGTGTCAACTGGTCATGTTCTTACCTGCTCTCTGGAATTCCTAGAGTACTTGTTTAGTACCTTTTCATGCTATCACATGTTTTTACATTATATCATGTTTGTCTACCTGTCTTATTTCCCACATTTGACTCATGGTACATGTTTTTATCCTGCAGCTAATTGTTTTATATACCAAAGACACTGATACTATTATGGCTGGATTGTTTCAGTATTTTAATTTTTATCTTTTCTTTTTCAAACAGGAGCAAAATTTATTGGAACTTTCCCCATACCAGACACCTACAATCCAGATGATGATAAAATATATTTCTTCTTTCGTGAGTCATCACAAGAAAGCAGTACTTCTGATAAGACCATTCTTTCTCGAGTTGGAAGAGTTTGTAAGGCAAGATATATGCATTTGTTTTACTTAAGGCATATGTGCATATGTATAAAAAACCATGTAATGTTGAAATGAAACTTAATGCCCATTATTCATAACTCATAGGATAGATTTATACTGTTACATGTATGTGATTTTTGAGATCCAAAAGTTAAAAAGAAAAAGGATTTAGATTTTTCAAATATTACAGTTGAATTTTCAGTGCTGAAATGTCACCCTGATGTGAGTTACACCTCTTTGGCAGTTCAGTACTTTTTTTTGAAGGGCTGTTCCAGTTATTGCAATTTGCAGTAAGAATGCTGCATTATCCAGACCCTTGAAAGTTAATATGTTATCAAACAATGTTAAATAATCTTATATTAAAATTAAAAGTAACAACATAATCACTAAAGTGCTTTAGACACTAACAATCATATTCTATATTTTTTTCAAAATACACATTGCATATGTAAAATGTTGTATCTTATGTGAATTGATTATATTTAGAATGTGCTTATATTTTTACTATAATAAATATTTTAAGTCAAGTTCTAAGAGAAAATGGAGTAAAGAAGAAAAAAAACCCAAATGAAAAACATTTATTTTGAAAATAAGTTAGAAAATTAAAATTGTCATTAGACTTAAATAGTGTCATTTTATGCAAATGCGAGACCCTAACAGTTTGTGCCATCAAGGCTCTCATTTAATAGCACACAAGCCTTAGACAATAATTACATTTTTGGTTTCAGTAACTTTTTTCCTTGGATTTGCATCTAATAAGAAATAGCATCTCTTAAATAGACATCTTCAGCATAAACTTGGTTATTAAGGGCTGTTAAATTAATAAATACTTTCAGTGGGAAACTTTCTTTGGTCTTATGCAAACTTTTCATTTTCTTCCATTTTAGCCTATCACTTTTTGTTTTAGTCTATACCATCAGGTTCTGAACACTTCCAGAGTTAGAAATACAAACTATCACTGAACGTAAAACTGTTCATGAAAACTCAGCTTTTGAATGAGGCCAACATGTGAGCCCAGATCATTCTTTGCCTAGAATCCTAGCCAATCATGCAGTCTCCCACTGATCCCCTTAACCTCCAGGGGACAGACTCTTGAAAAAGCATCCTCATTCTTTCAGAGTCTGAGTTCACAGTGATTTCTCTTGAAGCCTCGTGCCTAGGGATGAATGGCTGTTGTTCTGTAGACTTAGTGTGTTAGTGTACTGAAGCATGCCTTCTAACAACAGTATCCTGACCCTGAATAGCTATGATGTTGGTTGACATTGTCTGTATAAGTGAACTACGTTAGAGATATTTCAAGTCACTTTCTGATGAACATATATAAGAAGTTAGTGTATTTGGGAGCCATTGAAACTCTTAATTCTTGACAGGTTTAATCATTTAATATAAATTCATTTATAACAAAGTAATATTTTTATCCTAATATAAACATAGTGAGTGTTGACCTTAAAGATGAAGAAATACCTTAAAATTTAATTGTTTCATTTTAAATTTCCATATTAGAAGTTTAACCTAGATCTCATCAACATAAGCATGGAATATTTTATTTAAATTATGAACAAATTTATACTGAACTGGAAAGGCACAGAAGATTGTAAATGAGTCTTTCTAACTCAAAAACCTCAGAGACCACACAGCAAGACTTTGTCATGCTATTGTCCTTAGTTAAAAGCTAACAAATTGTAAGATCAAATAAGGATGTGTGATGGATGAATTTACTTTAAGAAAAACAAAAGAGGTTCTTCACTCATTAGTTTATCTCTTCACTTAATCCTTCTTTTAAGTGAGTATCTTCAAAATTTCTCACTGACTAAACGATCCATTGGTCAAATGTTTATATTTGATTCTAAATGCTTTGTACAAAATTTCTTAATTATAGCAATCTTAGACATGTTTCTAAATTTTACTTAATATTTCATGATAAAATTGTGATGAAAATTGGAAACATCTAGGTGGAAATTTCTCTAAGAACATTAAGAATGACTTAAAATCTTTAAAAATATGATTATATGCCTTACAAAGCAATAACAAGTTTAGTAATGATTTTTAAAAACTCAGCATCACTGTTGGTATTATATAATAGTTTCATGTAAAAATACTTTAATGAAATTATTTTCTCTTTCCATTTTTTTTCTTTTTCATAACCCCCCAAATGACATTATAACATCATAACATTGGTTTTCCACATTTGATAAATAACATGATGCATATCTATATTATGAAACAAAATTTGATAACTATAAGAAAAGGTTTAAGAATGAAGAGAAAACTGTGTGTGATTTACTGAGTTTACCAAGATTTTTCAGTAACACAGAAGTACTTTGTACTGTTCCACCAGCATTTTCCCAAAGTATATATCTGAAAATATTCAGGTTTTATTTTTCCTGTTCTAGTTGCTTGGTTTCATTTTTAACTGAATACTTTGGCACAGTGCAAAACTGCTGACAATTTAAGAGTTCTCTGCCTCTTCAGCTTCTTTCTTTCTGTCTGTCTGTCTATCTATCTATCTTGATTTGTAAAAGATGTTTTTTTTATTTTTTTTGAGCTGCCCAACATATTACTATTGGGCCAAATAGGATATAGTGATTGGTGAAGTGGTCTTGGTGATAGGCAAATATCACACAAAAAAAATGACTAGAAAATTGTTTACAGACGAAGAATAAATCTTTTCAATTTTGTAACCCATTAATTCATATCTAATTTTGTTTATTTCAACTATAGCAACAAAATAAAAATGTTGTGTAAAATACAAGTTGTACTACACGAGACAACTTGTATAACTAAACCACTACCCCTTTTTTTAAAAAATTCATATTATAGTGAGAGTAATAGACATATTAACAGATAACCAAAATATAATGTATTAAAAGTAAGAGATAAGAATTTTTAAGCATTCAGTGAAGCTCAAAAATATTGTATAAAAGAAGTGGTGTTTAAATCAAGTCCTATGGGGGATCAGGATTGCACTAAGGAAGAGAGGGCAGGCATTTCAGATAGTACTGTAAGAGGGTTTATTTTTTTCATGGAACACTGAAATCTTATAACTATGATTCAAAGGGTATGTATGGGGAACACTGTCTTTTGAGATTGGAGTGGCAAGTAGGGTGATAATCTTATTTCTGTGTTAGCAGGTGCGAATTCTATTCTGTTGCGTATGAAGAGTTACAAGATGTTTGAGTCAGAAAAATAGTAAAATAGGTAGATATATTTAGCAAAAATTAAAAAAAAAATATTAGAAATATTTACAAGTAGAAGGCCTATTAGGTCCAAAGACAATAGGAAAAAAGAGGTAAAGTTAAGTTTAGGAGATTTTTCAAATAGAAACTTTTTGCAGATTTCTAAAATCTCCTAAATTATCATTCATTTATTAAGCATTTTGTATAGACTAATGGTGTCCAATAGAACTTTCCATGATGATGGTAATGTTCTTTATCTGCATTATCCAATACAGTAGCCATGTGATGGTTATGATTGAAATATTATTAGCATGACAGAGGAATTAAATTTTTAATGCATTTTAATTCTCCCTTGCTCCTATCTCAGAAAGGATACTCACCTTGTAGACAAGTACTTCTATATTCTTGAAAATTGTTGTTTCTAGAAGATAAGGCATGGATCACAAAAATGTGCAAAGGGGACACATTCTGATACAAGAAAGGAAATACCAAAAAGAGTTTAGGGGCATAGATTTTATATTTGGGCATGTTGAATTTGATATGGCTCTGGGATATGCTGATACATTCGCTACATGAAAATATGAACCCGAGTCTCAGTAGTATCTGAACTCATGAATTTGGAAGTCATCAGTATCTTGAAGTCAAGGAACTGTCTAAAATTGTTCTGAAAGATTTGTGGCATAAGATTAAAGGCAAGGACAGAATCCTGAGGGAAAATGACATTTAAGAAAGCATAGGAGCTCATAACCCACTTGAATCAAATTGTGAAATATGATATATCAAGAACTATGTAATGTTTTGAACAGCCAACAATAAAAAATTAAAAAAAAAAAAAAAAAAAGAAAGCATAGGAAAGTATCTGCAAAGGCAATTAAGAAGAAACTATTTAATGGCTAAGCAGAGAACTGGAAGGGAGTGTCATTCCCGTCTGAAGGATAAGAAATTCTTTCAATAAGAAAGCAGATGTCAGGGATGTCACACCCCAAAGGTAGTCAGCCAGGTATTAGGTTTGATAGTAAGGCTATCATCAATGACCTTTGCCCAAATGATATTCAACTTGAAATCAGATGTAGATTTACATCTTGCTCTACTTCTTATTACCTTGGTTTCTTAAACTAGGAAATGACTCTTCCATGACTATTTTTATAAGTAAATGTGAGGCTTCCATGAGAGCATACAGATTTGGGTGTGGTAGATACTCAAGAAGGTCTTGAAAACAGGAGTGACTTAGATTTGTGTTTTTGAACATAATTCAATTATAAGACATTTATACACATAAAAAATTATAAACATCTGGTCAAACTTACTGTAGTAAGTTTAATGCCACAAAGCAAAAACATGGACATGCACACACACATGCACACATCATAATACAGCCTTTTGAAGCTGGGTAAATTTAACAAACTTAACAGTGATTACACATGGGAAGAAGGTGGTAGTGGTGGTAGTGGTTTTTGTGTGTGTGTGTGTTAACAGGTTAGGGTTAGGCTAGTTGCCAAATATTATTGAGAAAAACATTTTATTAGTTTTAGTGGTTGAATTTACTCTTAATATGTGTACCTCATTTTTAAGAATATTTATACTTTGAGGATGGATTTTATTTCTAAATAATGTCAAGATCATTTGGAACCATATCCAGTGAAAAATTTTTGAATGATTTGAACAATGTAAATTTTAGTGAAGAGGTATGGATGGGGAGAAACATTGTAAACTAAATAAATTTATTTAGAAGGTAATTTCACAAGGCAATATTGATCATTGACAGTCTGAGAATAAGTACTTTAATCTACACCTCTCCAAACCCAGCATGTGTGTCATTGTACATGG